AAACAAATTAGAGGTCAGTGCTCTAGAAAACTCCATTTGAAAGCATTAAGGGTGGAACATTTGCAGTTGTTTAATGCTCTATCAACTAATAAAGTTTTAATGATAAAAAGCATAATGCTCTTTTAAATACTCTGTCAATCAAGCGTTAAATAATGTAAGACTCCGTTGGATGTTATTGTTTTTAAAACATGTCTTAATCAAGATAATTTTACACGATCTTATATATTGCATCACGCAAAACAAATTTTATTTGACACAAAAATAGAGTTATATTACAAAAAAAAGAAAAAAGAGTTATAATATATAACTCAATCAAGATAATTGAGCATTAAGACTATAATTGAGATGGGTAAGATTTGAGGAGCTTCAAAGGTATTACTCTTATCTGAAAAGGCGTAAGATGGATCGTGGGTAATGGGAATCATATAAGGGTATGGAAAGATAATTGGATTCAATGATTCATGTACTACTGCCAAGATAATTGTGTCGACAAATGTTTATAACGATTATTTTTTTTTTTTGCCTTCAATTAATTTCGACTTATCCTGAACAACAATCAAATGTACAATTGTGATAGATATGAGGATGTTTCATCGATCACAAATTCACAATTATATGGTTGATTAAACGTACCAACTTACAGAAAGCAAAACTATAATTCAGTAGATACATTTGGTTGATCTAATATAGTTAATCAAATCTTAAAACAACAAAGCAGCATAGAATAATTGGTTCCAAGTATCAGGGAGACCAGGAAGACACCAATGGCTACAATCAGATGAACGGTCGGGATTTCTCTTTAGAGAAGGATTGAGATCTCCGCTATAGATCGAAGGATGACCATCGATACGAAGAGCAGAGAGCATAGATATATCCATCAATGAGACATGAAACTTCATTTCTTTCACAACTTCGTCAATCACTTTCTTCTGGTTTACGTATGAGCTTGTTGGATACGTTGTTCCACTAAAGGGTGTCGTATGGCCGTAGCAGTTTTTAGCACCTTGAGTTGTCGTTGAAGCTTTTGCTCTTGAAGTCCATTCATTTGGACTGCATCACATTTCCAAAAGTTTATTTGTTCAACTTGAATGCGCATATTAAAAACAAAAGCTTAATTTGTTATAAAAAATATGATCAGGGAACAGTACTATTAAAGATGAGTGGTAGGATACAACATTAATTGTTATGTTGGTGGCTACATTATATATCCTTCCTTTATGCAAGTTGCCAAGGAGGAAACTCTCATTGGCGAAACTAAAACAATTGGACTATTCTTTGAGCCAATATTCAATCACACAGCTCATATGTGGACCTTTATCAACAGACGAATAGTCTTATGTATCTTTTTCAGTTCTATCTTGTTTTTGGGCTGAATTTCAAATAATGTAAAATTTATTTCACTTTTCATACGTAATATTTGTTTTTCAGTTCTATTTTGTTTTTGGGTTGAATTTCAAACAAACTATGCAAATTTGCCATTATTAACCATGAACATTGTCTTTTACAAGGAGAAATGAATCCTCGTTCTGATATGACTATAGAAGCAAGTACTAGTTTTTGTTTGAATGTTATTTAAAGAAAATACACACATATTTATCACGTCAACTTTCAGACTAGCTAGCAAAAATGAGGCCACAATGGTAAGTACTATAGAGTAGTTTGATTGCAACTAGCAAGCTAGTTTGGCAACATCTACCAAAACCCTCAAACCAATGCATGTGTTTAATTAATTGTGCTTCCTTCTCATTAAATATATACTATACGTGCTTTGTATATACGTCAACTTCATCACACACCATATCATTTTGGAGATAAAGATCGATGTTAAACCAATAAGAGCTTAGAAAAGAGAGAGAGAGAGGTGCATACTTGTAGTGTGTGGGTGAGACGGAGAGGAAGAAAACTCTAGTGAGAGGAGAGTTGATATAACGAAGGACCCAATTAGACCATGTTCTTAGTCCTTTTTTCAAAGCCACCAACCTATCCATGTCTCCGTAATACCTCCCTCCTGTCTCCATCTGCTCCCACCTGCCCCACCACAATCAAAAACTTTCACTTTTCACTCAATATTTATATTTACCCCCTTAAATTTATATAAACGATGTATGTGAAAGTTTACATATATAGAGGATATAATATATAACATTGTAGCTTACCCTCGTAAGGAACCTGCGTGGCTCCACCAGTGACCAGTGTTAAACAACAAAACGTCAGCCGCGCGCCAAGCGTTGGATGCATCGACAGAGATTTCGTCGAGTTTAAGAGTTGTCTTTCCGTGAATGTTGTCTATATCAACAAGATAAGGAGCTCTATAGAATGATACCTTCACATTGTAGTCCTGTCATTGTATCCATGTGTTAGCAACAAAAGTTGAAGTAATTAATTTGAGGTATAACTTAGGTTAGAATGGTAAACAAGTTGAGAACATAAGAGGGAAAACAATAGAGATTTAAGAGTTTGAATGGTAAACAATCAGATTACAATGAAAGGAATTATTTAATCATGAGTATATGAACAGATAGGAAAATAAAGGTGGAGCGAGAGAAACGGAGGTAAAATGCATGATTACAATGAGGGAATTATGAAAGTATATGATTGAATGAGTTTTAGAATTCAATATAAGTTTATATAGTTGTTCAATCAACGGAGTTGAGAAGCGGAAGATAAAGCATCTGAAATATGAAGTAAGCAATTTGGGATTGAAGCAGTAACCTATAACAGTGACCTGTACCAGTTGTGAAGTACTACAGGAGGTTGTACGAGCGAACTGGATGAGTTTAAGGGCTCGTAGGCTTGAAGGGTGGGTTGGGCCAAGCTAGTATGGACGTGACTTGATGCTCTAGGTGAGCTGGAGACGTTCTTTGGAGAGGATCAAGGAGCATGAAGATTTTCTTATATCCTGGTTAAGATTAAGGAAAGGAGGATATTCTACAAAGATGTGATATCTTCTAAACTTAAAGACTAAGGCTAGGGTTAGCCGTCGATTCCTATTGTGTATAAATAGGAGTGTAAAAACGTGGAGAGACGTTTAATACAATTAGAGAGCATATTTCTTAGCAAAAGGGATTTAGGGTTGTTCTTGTAAGAGATTCTGATCAAATGGGTTAAAGGGTAGTTAGAGGTTCACAAGATCATATGTTGATTTGTGAACACGTGAGACTAGGATTGAAGTTGGTGAGTGAAACTTGTAAGTGCACTTATCGTTTGATCTAGTAAAACGTATTGAAAATAAACCCCGTGTGAATTGTGTTCGTTTTCTGTACTAATATTTGTAGTACTCTTTGTTACATCAGCTCTTGCACTTACAAATTATTTGTTATGAACTTATAATTTGAATAGAAACTAGTATTATTAACTAAGAAAACTTATTTTGTGACTAGCTAGTGTATCTATACTCTAATCTGAAATTAAAAAGGTATTACAAATGTTGATTTCGATAATTTTAGTTTTCTTTTGTCCCTTTATTGGACCAGTGAAAGTGAAACTGTCACCGACGACAAGTTGTGCAGCTAAATTAGCAGTTGAAAACGACGTTCGAAATTACAAATATATTCGAAGAAAATTTAAACTAAAAAGTAAAAAAAAAAATCATTAACCGACAATAAAAATTAGTGTGGGAAAACTTGAAACTTACAAGGATCTTGAAGGTAGAGAGAGGATCTTCATGAATGATATGAGTATGAATGAACGGTGCAGATGCAGAGATCATACACATCAACGACTCCCACTGGTTTCTACCCAACGAATCACCGACGAACATTATTGTTTTGTTCCTCATTTCTTGTAGAAATTTCACCCCATTGAATCTGCTTTCCAGTAAATAAATAATAAAATAGTAGTAAGTAATTTGGTTTTTGTTAAAAACGAATCTTTTTAACTTGCACTTATTACACACACTAAAAAGGTTAACTATAAAATCAGTTGAAGTATATGCACACCTAATTATATTGTTAACTATTAAAAAAGGTTATGAAGAATCTCCATAATTAGCCATACAAAATTAATATACAAAGTTGTATTCATCTCATAATTTCTGGGACCACTGAAATCATGATCCAAATATACTATATATATAACATCAAACAAAAATTATGATATAACCGGCTTAAATTTGTTTTCATTTTTGTATTTACAAAGTAAAAAAATTCTTAATCTTGGTTAGTGCAGTTGCCCTACGTGCTAAAGAATTCATTTGGCCTAGTTTAGATCTCTAAACATAAATTTAAATATTCGAGGCTAGATGATAACATCGATATCAATGTTCCTCAAATTAAAGCAAGTGAATTAAAGTAACACTATAACCAATTAATTTAACTAAATCGATGTATTGGTCTAACGAAGTAGCTAGTGAGTGAGTTTTAACTGACCTAGGGACGTCGCAGTTAAATGGTTTCCACCGGAACTTGAGATAGTCGGAGTCAGGTCTGCCGTAAGTCTGACAATCGAATCCCGGATCTATCATTCCTCCGCCGCATTCTTCCGCATTGTAAAGTGGGTACGTCTCGTCTCGTACCCACTCGCCGGAGAACAGATCGCAGCTACTCCTGTTCACCGGAAAAACCATCGGAATCCGCCGTGGATGCTTGGCGAAGTTGCTGTGGTTGCTGTGGATCGGCCGACGAGAGAGAGGGAGAGGGGAAACTGAAGTTGCGTTTTGG